CATATATATACATATGTATGTATACATACATATATATATATGTATGTATGTATATTTATATATATATATATTGATTAATTTATGTATGTATATATATATACATATATATTATATGTATGTATGTATGTATTTATATATAGAGATTAATTTATATGTATATATATACATACATATATATATATATATACGTATATATACACATATATATACACATATATACATATATATATATATATATATATATATATATATATATAATATATATATATATATATATATATAAATATGTGTGTGTGTGTGTGTGGACCTCCAAGCAAGTGTGAACGAATGAGCCAAATTATAGGCTTTTTGGCGATCGCAACGCGCTCTCTTGTCGATGGAAACCAAACTTACGAATGCACGTTCTTTTACGAACACAATAAAGCTGTTTATAAAAACGAATTATTCGTTATACGATGGTAATGGTTGTACTAATTTGGCGTTGTACTTTGTTGTAGGAGTAAGGATGATAAGTAACAATGATAATGAAAGCAAGAATTTGAGTAAAACTATTCAACTCATACAAGAACAAAGGTTGCATAAATTATCGAATAACTACAATAACAGTAGTAGCAATAGGTATCTCAAGTTATAAAATATTTCACCAATTGATACTTGATATTAAGTAACATCACGTTGTTGTGGAATAAATAACAGACGCTTAGAAAAAATGTAACACGAAAATTCTTCTAAGCATTATAAACAATAGATAACACTTTTATTAGGGATTTAATAGGTATAAACCATATTATTATCCTTGAGTATTATTATGTTTGTTTTATCGTAGTTGGCCATTCAAATATATCACTTTGAGCAGTTAAATATTGCTGTGAACGCTGTTTGCACGTGTTTTTTGGCGGGAAAAAGAGGCGCGAAGGAGGGGGAACTGAAGGAAAACGGATGGAAACGGACATATACACGTGTGGTGTTGGACGGAGACGCACGCATTATATTTTTCAGCGCACGTGAAGAGTGTCACGCCCTAGCCAGCCTCATGCCACCTTCCTTGTGCCGTACTGCGTCAGCTATTTAAATGAGTGTAATGTTTAGTTATCAACAACAGAAAGACGGACATTGCAAGTGTTAGTGACCAGCAGCACTGCCTGTGACTCTCATGGTGGCGACGTGATGTATAGAATAAAGGAAAAAATTGTGAAGTGCCATCTTTCTTTTCCTCATACTACGGTGTTGCAAGGAGGATTTGCAACAACATGATCAGATCTATAATATATCCTAATCTGATTGGTGTTACTCGAATGAAGATATATTCCTCATACGACAATGAATCTTATCGTTTTACCCATTCACTAACACATTAAACGGCAAATGAAATTAATCACTTAACACTGTATTCTGCCGTTTCAAAATTCAAGCAGTTATTCCTTGTAAACCACTGATCTCAACAGAACTGGATTAAGCATCTATTGTTTCATTTCTGAAGCCATCTTGGGGTGACCGACCCAAAAAATATTCGTATACTAAGACATGCATAAATAAAGACATAAATGCATATTCATCAGGCTAGACATATATATCAACCGGGCAAATAGATAGGTAAATGTATATCTATCAGGTATATAGACAGATATGCCTCTATGTCTGCGTCTGTATATATGGAAATTCATTGGGTCGGGCCTGGCACAATTTTAACAAACCGGCCGGTTATGTTTGTTAAGTACACTTAGAACAGAGGGAAGAAATTTTACATTTTTTTATCATGTGGTATAAGGCAGGTTTATTTGGTATCTCTGGTAGCTTTAAAAAATATATTTTGTGGGGAGGGTCTGCTTGGGATATTGAAAAAAACGAAAATATTCGATTTTCTTCTTATTTCGGCGAGATATAAAGTATTTTGTCTAACCTAACACCTCTAACACCCTAAATGAGCCCTGATCAATATTTATGGATGCTAAGCAAGTTCTGCAATGTAACGAACAATTATGTAGTCATTTAGCTATGTTATATGGAAATAACCACTACAATTACAGAGCTGTGGTACGTAAAGTGGTACCCCAAGATGGCGCCGATCTTGGCTTCAAATTTTGCCGAAAACTTGAGGTTACTCGATCCAGTTTCATCGAGATCAGTGATGTAAACCGATTCGTAAATCAATGAGCGTGCTTTTTATTACTTATGATCTAATCTCTTCTTTCAAAATAAAAGAAGAGAATATGGGATCGGAATTAGAAAGTTTTAGCATCGCGTTCAGAAAATTGCCTAAATTTAACCTTTCTTTGTTGCGTGGCGGTGTCCGAATGCAATCAAACTGCGAGTATTTATTTTCTCTTCTGCATTTTAATCCCTTTCCAGGTGTTCTAACTACAAAATTTGGCATTGGAATATAATTCTATAGATTTTGATATCAGAAATAAAATAAAAAAGAAGAGATTACCAAGTATAGACAGAAATTATTGAAATGAAGAAAATGGGAAATATCAGCCATCCTAACGGTGACTTGTCCGATCTCGACCAAGATTTTGGAAAGAAATGAGGATAAAAATGGATTTTTGTCCATTTTTCTTCACGTAGAGCCAATGGAACTCCCTTAAAAACAAAAATAATATAATTAAGGTGACCAGTAACCAGAGTCAAGGGAATTCTGGCGTCTGTGTGCAGTATAATCGTCATAAATAAGACCTTTGTTTTTTTCGAAGTGTATCTATGGCTGTGAACCGGCAAGGTACAAGAAACGCTTATTTTGCTGTGGTGCGCTCTGATTGGCTGGGAAGTCTGAGCATGCGCAACGTCAGGCTCGCTGTGATTGGTTGACAAGGAGAGAGTAGAGAGGAGAGGAGAGAGGAGAGAGAGAGAGAGAGAAGAGAGGAGAGTGAGAGGAGAGAGAGAGAGAGATGAGAGAGAGAGAGAGAGAGAGAGAGAGAGAGAGAGAGAGAGAGAGAGAGAGAGAGAGAGAGAGAGAGAGAGATGAGAGAGAAGAGAGAGAGAGAGAGAGAGAGAGAGAGAGAGAGAGAGAGAGAGAGAGAGAGAGAGAGAGAGATGAGAGAGAGGAGAGAGAGAGAGAGAGAGAGAGAGAGAGAGAGAGAGAGAGAGAGAGAGAGAGAGAGAGAGAGAGAGAGAGAGTATCCAGACCAGTTCGAATCCTGGAATCATGGAGACAACAGTTTTATTGAAAATTGTCGACGAATTTCTGGACTTTCTTGAAATTGAAGCAGCCATAAAGCGTTTGGAGTTGGTGCACAATATAAATTTTTGTTTTGGCTTGGTTAGGTTTGTTCAAGTTAGGTTAGGTTAGGTTAGGTTTTTTAAGTTAGTTAGGTTAGATTTGTTTAAGTTTAGGTTAGATTTTTTTTTGTAAATTAGTTAGTTAGGTTTATTTAGATTAGCTTTAGTATGGTTACCTTAGTTTAGATTAGGTTTGTTTTGGTTAAGTTGGATTAAATTAGGTTTAATTTAGTTAAATGACTAGTGTTTGCGGTTAAGAAATGGCAAAATGATATAACAGCAACGCCGTGCACAGTAACCGCATGTACAACCCCCCCCCCCCCCTGCATATGACATCACTGCCATTGGCCAATCACCGCATATCACTGATTTTGCGAATTTTCAACAACATGCATCAGTGCAACATATTTTCACTCGCCTCCCACATAACAATTCACCACACTGATATTTTTTCTTTAAGGTTATCATGTTTTGATTTACTGACATTTTATTCCCCCATTTCCTCAACATTGGCTAGCACCCACATGTGGTTGAATAATTGATGAATATTAGCCTATATGTGCTAGGAATAGTGTTATTACAAGGCTTTTAAAATAGATGTAGGCCTATACATATACCACCAAGTTTAGAGATACTGATAGTACTAGACATTAAACTTTTGTGAATAGATAAACAATAAATGATGTATATGTGATCTAAAAGACAAAAATAATGGATTAATAACATTAATAACACTGTGCTGTACTTTGAATGAAAGTTATTGGCAAATAACTGAATGTGTCGTTATTCTCCAGTTAATATTTCGCCAAAAAATTGTCCGTTGTTTATTTCAACAGTTGAATTCAAAGACTGAAAGTGAGAATTCTGGTCATTACCATTGTTCTTGATATCGATTTTAACGAAGGTAGTCCATTTATGGCTAAAACATCTTTAACACACTTTTCTTTCTCTGATCTCGATAGACTACACTTTGTTGTGAACGAAATGTTTCAGTAAAATAGTACGGACTTGGCAGATCTTTGAAATCCTATCACTTGCTCAGTTAAATAAAGTCGCTTAGCAAGTTATTTCAGAAAAGTAAAACAAAACAGAATGGTCTATCTGACGCACAAACATTTTTTTCTTTTATTTACGTTTCATATTGACGTAAAAATAATCTACTTGTGCATGTGGAGATTTACCGAAAGTATTTCACAGCTTTTTTTTATTGTTACTTGGGGTATTGATTTCTAAATACTTAGGTAATAAGATGTTACTTTTGATATAAGGCTCTGTATTGATTCGTTATTCACACATATACACACGGGCGCATAATCGATAATAAATCTATTATAAGCTAAATACAACAAGGAGTATGCATGATTCACCTGCAAGATACGGAATTACAACATTCAACACCACATCCTCCTCAGAACAACATATCACTGCCAC